AATATAATTTTTTCCAAGTCTTTCCATTTCCTAATGGGGCTGTATCATACTTTCTGATGGAGGCATAGAATTCCATTGTATATTAGTAATTTTAACTGTTGCAACGTGCTGCCTGCTCCTTAATCCTCTGCCACCTGGAGCAAAGCAATAACGGAGACAGGGCCATGGTACTGAGGTTTGGGGCACCAGGGGACCTATAGCCTTCCACCAGCAACAAATCCCAAGGTTCCATTAGCCAAGGTTTTTATTGGTTTTGTGCAAGAAAGCAAGGTACAAACTCGTGATAATATTTTGTATGCAAATAGTAGAAGACCTTCTTATTAGAGGGGAAGGAGAAGAAAACAGCAAACAGCTTAGAATTTGCATAAACCTAAGTCTATCTTTGGGCTCCCACCCAGTTTAGGGTGCAGTTAGCTGACACCAAGGATAGAAGTGTGAGTTCCCATTAAGCCAGGACTGATTGACCTTTCCAGGAAACTCTCAGCATTCTGAGAGTACATGACAAGAAGGCATTCCAAACTCCCAATCCTTTCAGGGTCTCACAGTTTGGATATTTGGGCTCTCACATTTAACCAGTAAGTACTTAGTAAGGTATGTGGTTGGGTATACATATGTGTTTAAGATAATAAGATGATTTACATGGGATACAGATGTATTTACATTCCCTTCTTTTGCTAATCGTTCCTGAGGTTATAGCTATTCATTCAGTGGCATGGCCTTTGCAGGGCATTCTTCAGAAAATTCACCATCATAGCATACACTTCTTATGAGCTCCTGGCTCCAATTCCATCAGGTCAAAAATACTGTCCATGCTTGGTCTTCTGTGGGGGAAGAGTGAGCCCTGTTCCTTCTGCAGATTATAACATAGAAGAGCAGATTATACTAGACTAAAGTCCTTTGTTCTGAGGTGAACTTGTTTCTGCTACACCTTGGATTGTGTAGTTGTTTGCAGATACATCAAATATAACTGATTTTCCTGTCTTCTTCATTGGCCTCTCAAAGTCGAGGTGAATATGTAATCTGCCCTAAGAGTGACAGCTGACCATTAGTATTTGTGAGTGTAAGAATTCCCTGATGCTTCACTATTGATGTATTAGAGTATCAACGTGCTTTCTTCTTTTCAATGATATTCCAACCTCCAAAAAATTATTTCTGTCTTAATAGTGAAAATAAATTGGCAAAAAGGAGTGTTAGATTCTACTCCTGGATCTATATGTTCTTTAAATGGGGAGTCCTTATTTCCTACTGAAAATGTAATCACTATTATATGCTGGAATGGATTCTGTAGCCACAATGTTCAATATTCAATGAGAAGATACCAACCTTGAGCCTTAAAGGGAGATGATTACACAGAAAAAAGATATTAGGGACAGATTGATTATTCCGTGAGTTAAAAAGACACTGTTTCTCAAAAAATATAGATAGGCAAGAGAGGTAAGCAACTTTGAAGAAAAATCATTCCATGGAAGACCAAATGATACAAGGCACCTTTTATTTTGTAATGCCAAGGAATAGCTTAGTGATTGTGTGCAGAATATGTTACATCTTTTAAACTCACTCACAAAATTTTATAGCAGATATTTACCTAGAGCTTAAACTAGTAGCATAGTGATTACTGTCTTCATTCATGCCAAGACCATTATGGCACCTTCTTTTAGGCACTAGTAAGTTTGAGCAAACATCTGCAAATCCATCAAAGTTGGATTATTCCTTAGCATATGTCTGCCTGCTCTCCTTCGAATAGGGTTTCCCCGGCTTGGGTCACATCCAAATCCTATGAGTCACTGATAAGAAAAGGACATGCAACTCTACCCCCCACCCCCTTTTGGTGGCCCATCCTGTATTGGGCAGCGTGCTCTCATTTGATAACATTTGGTAAAAATCAAGCCCCTTCTGCCGACTCATTCCAATACTGAATAGAATCAGTGTCACACACAGAGAACAGAACACTCCTTTCGTTGTTTCAACATTCTTTTTTTGGCCTCATTTCTCTCTCTCTCTACTGAGCTTTGAGTCCAGATTTAGTGTGGATGACTAAGAAATTGCCAGGATGTGACGGAGCCTTCAGTTCATTGAGTCCTTTTTTTGTCATTTTCCAATAGTTGTAACGATTGCCAAGTTTTCCTCGTAACATTGTAGGCGCTATGTTATTCTTAACAAATATTAAATCACCCTATGCTGAATCTGTCCATACAATGACAGCCTCCTACATAAGCTGATTTTATTCTGTGGTATTAAGGAAATTTCCTTCAGATTTTTTAACTGGTTCATAGTGTCTGTGTCTGAATTCCAATATCTGAATAGGAATCTCTGAAATTAGAATTCTACCATCAGCAATACAGTGATCCAGTAATTGAGTAGTCTGCCATGAGCTAGGCATTATGAGCTATCTTTTTTGAGAGGGAAAAGAGATTTGGAAATAAGTCAGACAAGTTCTTGGCCATCCAAAGCTAATCACAGGCCTTGCTAGTGATAGTTTCTAAGACCACATATATGGGTAGGACCAATTCTAGCAGTCTTAGGGAATGAGACAAAAAACAATGGAGAAGGAAGTAGCAGAATGACATTGTAACCAAATGAAATGAATGGCATCTGAGAAGGCACATAGGGTTTTGGCAATAGTGGAAGGTATTACAGTGATTGAATACTGGAGGATTTAATGCCACATCAAGTCATTTGTTGTTCTTACTGTAGTCTAGACAAGGTGAAATTATGAAAAGTTCCCGAGGAAGGTATTTTTGTTTGAGGAAGGCAAATCTTCCAGTAGACTTAAGTAGAATTAAGACATACTATCAACCAGTTATGAGGGCACAAAGAAGATTAGTAGCAATGACAATGGAGGGTGAAGATCCTGGATCCTGGGTTGGAAGCATTCAAAGGAAGGCAAAGGTCCTATGAAAATTTAAGGTGTCTGATGCAATGTATTGTTTATTTGTCAGCTTTTAGCATCACCCAAGTTCATAATGCATCATTACAACTGTGTATGAAATGAACAAATGAATGCTACTATTACAAAGATGCTAAATATGGCACTTTTGGGAGACCTACCCTTAAAATTCACATCATTTATTGATGAACCATATATTGTTTATGCAGCTCAACAATAGACCCACCTTGGTCTTGCCTATTTATTCACCAGATTTATTTTCTAATATTTCCTGACAGTTACAAAATGAATCTCTGTGCAGTTGTCCTTACCATTAGAAGAAACTTGAACACTATATATATATAGCCAAATTTGTTTGTAGGCATACTTATGTTGAGAACTCCTATAAAAACAGATTTTCATAGTCCGCAAATAGAGCTTCTTAACTTCCTACTGCAGGTAGTTGTTGTACTAGACTTGTATTTCTCCCCAAGCAAGTTAAATTTGTATGACTCCTAGGCAGATCTATCAAAGATACAGCTAGCCTGAAATAACCCCTTATAGATAATACAGCCTATGTACTTTTAGAGAACAAATGGAGAACTCAGTCAACGTACTACCTGGAACACTTTATGGATTCCAAGAAGAGGGGAAATAAAATTATTTGAGTGCGTAACTTTTAGAGAAAAATTGAGGAATATGTCTCTATTTGCTGAAGTGACTTTGAACATTCAGAATATTTGGCCCAGCTGGTATATACAGCTTAGAATGATAGCCAATATGAAAATGAAGAAACTGCTTTTTAAAAGAATAGTGGCCAAAGTAACATGTGATTTAAGGTTTCAAATGATTTGATGATTCTATCAATAGCTGATAAAAGCACAGTAAAATTAGCAAAAATCTAGTAGTACAATGGATTATTACTATTGAATGTAGTCCAGTTACTATTTTCCTCGTTCTCTTTCAATCTAAATGGACACATTGGTATTCTATGGATTAGTTATAATTTAAAATCTGCTGTTCATTCCACTTGGCTTATAAGTGGCCGTTTTAGTCGTTGCTTATCGCATGCATATGTGCATACCACACAGAAGCTAAAATGAATGTGGTAAGGATTTCCTTAAAACATTCTGTCATGTTTGGAGCCCTTCATTTGAATTGGCTCAGTCCTAAGGAAACATGACAGAAAATCACATTCCAGGGTTCAAAGTCCCTGGGGCTGCTGTCTCTTGTCCGGTTGTAGAATTACTGTAAATTCCTTCCTTTCATATTGATTTGCTTGTAAATATGACTGTAAGGTAAGGATAGAGTGAGGGGGCACTTTTTTCTTTTCCTTGGAAAGTCAAGGTCTAATGATCTAAAAAAAAAATCAATTTAGTTTACCTGAAAGTAAAAGACAGTTTTTATTTGAAGCATCCTTTTAGAAGTAAAAACAATAACACTAGATTTAGCCTCAGGCATCTGACAACCATAATGTATAATAAATAATTAGGGAATCTAAGCCGGGCGCTGGTGGCTCACGCCTGTAATCCTAGCTACTCAGGAGGCTGAGATCTGAGGATCGCGGTTCAAAGCCAGCGCGGGCAGAAGAGACTGTGAGACTCCAGAAAACCGGAAGTGGCACTGTAGCTCAAGTGGTAGAGTGCTCACCTTGAGCTGAAGAGCTGAGGGACAGCACCCAGGCCCAGAGTTCAAGCCCCACGACCAACCAAAAAAAAAATTAAGGAATCTATGAAAACTAAGTACAAAGATTGATTGTTTGTTTTCTCTGAATAAAGTGAATAAAGTCTGAAGCGAATAAAGTTCCATATAACCTCTTGTGCTTGTCTTTTCAGTCCTTGGTTCATGTATTTTTTCCAGCATATTATACTGATGTGTTTAGTTCCAATCTTCCCTTTACTTACCACAAAGAGAGACAATCATTGATCAGTAGAACTATTTCCTAAAGCATTATATGAAGTGTTATATACTCTGGTAGGTTCCAGTAATACTTGTTATACTACTAAAACAGGGCACTGTAGTTTATATACATACACACTTCAACAAAATATGTCCTATAATCCTTAAAAGCATTTGTTCTACATGAAATTTATTATGATAAGCATCAAGGGTTGTTTGTTTGTTTCTGTTGCAGGAGCATTTCACACCTGAGTGCAAATTCAAAGAATCAGTGTTTGAAAATTATTACGTGACATATTCATCCATGATATACCGTCAGCAGCAGTCAGGCCGAGGGTGGTACCTGGGTCTGAACAAAGAAGGAGAGATTATGAAAGGCAACCACGTGAAGAAAAACAAACCTGCAGCCCATTTTCTGCCCAAACCACTGAAAGGTAAATTTGATTCTGTAGGGATTATGGTTACGGTATCAAATGTAGTCATTTAAATTAAGTTTTTTTTATTGTGAAAATACCATACAGAGGGGTTACAATTACATGGCAAGATAATGAGTACATTTCTTTTTTTTTGTTGTAAAAATACTGTACAGAAGGGTTACAATTACATGGGCAAGGTAATGAGTACATTTCTTATCAAGCCTTGTAGCCTCCTCCTTTGTTTCCCCTTCCCATCCCTTCCCATTCTCCTCTCGCCCCCCCCAAAACTCCCCCCCACCAAAGTTGTAAAGTTCATTTTCGACATAACGACTTGTACGTCTCATTGTTGCAATGGGTCCACCTGCATCCCTATTTAAACAATTTGTTTTTTTCCTTCCCCTCCACAAATGATACCGACCACATGGTTATCTCAATAGATGCAGAAAAGCATTTGACAAGATCCAACACCCCTTTATGATGAAGGTTCTGGAAAAATTAGGAATTCAGGGAACATTCTTCAATACAATAAACCTACAGCCAGCATTATACTTAATGGTGAAAAACTAAAGCCATTTCCTCTTAACTCAGGAATGACACAAGGATGTCCACTCTCTCTACTTCTCTTCAATCTAGTATTAGAATGCCTAGCTACAGCAATAAGACAAGATGCAAACATAAAGGGGATCCAAATAGGGAAAGAAGAAGTAAAACTCTCCCTCTTTGCAGATGACATGATCCTGTATTTAAAGACTCCCACAGACTCCACTCCCGAATTACTCAACTGATTCAAAACTTTGGCAAAGTAGCAGGGTATAAAATTAACCCTCAAAAATCAATGGCTTTTCTGTATGCCAACAATGAGAAAAATTAAGTTTTTACTCTACTGTTGAAAGTGGAACTAAGTTCTATATTAAGGTACTTGGAATTGTACAAACATTTTAGAGCCTTCAAAATCATGAAGGCAATAATGTTAAAAAAATCATGAAGACATCATGGCATTGACAATAGCATCGTCATTATGATTTTGTTTTTTTTCCAGTGGAATATCCAGTGGAATAGTGTTACCTTGTTTAAATGCAAGCACCCAACATTCCAACTCAGGATAGCTGGTAGTTGTGAGAAACACAGATGTTAAAATACGTGTGTACCTAACTTATTGGAAGAAGGTCTTTTCAACCCTTTCTAAGGACCCAGCAATATAGTCTCAAGAATTCATAGGTATTTTGTTTCCCAGTTATTGTTAATAGGTTAAAATAAGTTAGAAAGGTGAAAAATAAGAATAGTCTATAGATGACAATGATTTTAGAAGTATTGGCATGGTAGAGAAAGGACAGAAAACACAGACAGTAAAACCTCAGATTACCTAGCCTGCGTTTAATGTAGGGAAAGACACAGCACATAATAATGAGTTTTCCAGCTTCTTTTCTTGCTCTACACTACCAAGGTTCAAATCTGAGCTTTCTGTTTCATTGAATGGTATTGAAATAGTTATATATCCACTGTGCCTCAAATTTTTCTATAAAATATGAATAAGTACTTTTTATACAGTAGCATTTTTATATGGGTTAATTGACATAGTACATGTAGAGAATTGAGAGTAGTATGTAATATAAGTGTTTCACAAGCATAAGCTAGTATTATTATTTATAGCCCAACAATAATAATTATTACCATTAGTGGTATGAAAAATTATAATAAAACAGCCTTTTATAGAATTTCATTTTAAACTACGATAGAAACCAGTGTTTTCAAAATGGTTTAATTTAATATTGGGTTTACACAGTATATAGTAGATCACTTAAACCTCTAAGAATTTTATTAAGTGCATTTTCATTAAACTTCCCACATATAATTATAAGTGATAGAAGTTAGGCATTCAAAATACACACTACCACCCAGACTATGTTTTCCTTAATCTGATCTCATCCATTCTTTAGCAAATACATGAAAACAGCATTTTGCATGCTTGGTTTATTGCATAAAAGCCTAGTTAACTAGAAGAACATTTAGGATCAGTCCATTAATAATGATTTCCTTTTATTCTTATATTCTTTGTTGATTTTTATTAACAAATGAAAATTATATATGTAGATATGTGCATATATGTATATGTTTGTATGTATATATACACATATATATGTCACTTACAAGATATTTGGAAATAAGTTCGTACTGTTGAGTGACCAATTTAGCACATTATTATACACATTGCCTCCTATACCTACTAATTTTGTTGTGAGCATGTTTCAAACCAAGTTATCCACTTTCAAAAATAGCATATACAGATATGTCCATTTGAAGGCCTTTTACACCCTCCTAATATGTTTTTCAGTGGCCATGTACAAGGAACCGTCACTGCACGATCTCACGGAGTTCTCCCGATCCGGAAGTGGGACCCCGACCAAGAGCAGAAGTGTCTCCGGCGTACTGAATGGAGGCAAATCCATGAGCCACAACGAATCAACGTAGCCAGTGAGGGCAAAACAAGGGCTCTGTAACAGAACCTTACCTCCAGGTGCTGTTGAATTCTTCTAGCAGTCCTTCACCCAAAAAGTTCAAATTTGTCAGTGACGTTTACCAAACAAACAGGCAGAGTTCACTATTCTATCTGCCTTTAGACCTTGTTATCATCCAGACTAAAGCCCCATAAATTTAGAGTGAGCTTGTGCAAAAGAATGCCATGCATTATCAATGAACTAAATATGGGAGAAGGACTGCCAAATTTTCTCATCATCTCATCTATATGTTGGGGATGACAAACCAAACCAAAACAAAACAAAAAATTTCACAGCACTAATGCTGATCAAAATCTGTTCTCCAACCAAGAAAATCTAAAAGACCACAGTCATTCTTAAAACAAAAACAGAAACAAAGCAAAACAAAATTCTCTGCTTAAATGTTTGTAGAGGCAAACAAAATTATGTGAGCTGTGTTTCTTGGCTTCATGTTTTCTATTTCTGCTTGATTCAGTGTACTCTTTACTTTCATATAGCTCAACTTTCCAGTTTCTGAAGTTCAATGGTTCTATTGACTCTATGTCACTTAATCCAAATCATCCAAATTCAGGGTTGAATCTGAATTGGCATCTCAGGCCCAAGGTAATAGGGTTCTTGTGATTTAACCTTTTTTTTGTTTTGTTTTAGATTTGTAGTATTCTGGTCAAGTTCTGTGCTGTACTTTGTGCGTAGAAATTGAGTTTTATAGTCAACCCCAGTCAGTAAAGATAACTTAAAAAGAAAAGATCCTCCTCAAGTGTAGAATTCTCTTAATTCCATTTGTGTATCATGTTAAACTACTGTTGTGGCTTCTTGTGTAAAGGCAGGAACTGTGGAACTGTGATGTCTTCTGTGTTGTTAAAATAAGAAATGTCTCATGTGTATACCTATGAGTCCCTCTTGTCATTGTATTTGGCACGTGATTATTGTGTACAAGGAAATACTAAGACTGGTAACCCCTAAACAACATATATTATACTTGCTATTGGAAAGTGTTTAAGACTTAGCTAGGTTTCCATTTAGATCTTCATATCTGTTGCATGGAAGAAAGTTGGAATCTTGGCATAGAGTTGCATGATATGTAAGATTTTGTGCATTAATAATTGTTAAAATCTGTGTCCCAAAAGTGGACATAGCATGTACAGGCAGTTTTCTGTCCTGTGCACAAAAAGTTTAAAAAAAGTTGTTTAATATTTGTTGTTGTATACCCAAATACGCACCGAATAAACTCTTTATATTCATTCAAAGAAAAAAAATTCTCGAGCATGTATTTATTGAGTACATATTATCAAATATATCAGAAATCGGGGTTACATGCTGGATTTTTGTAGATAATGTCACTGCTTTCAAATAACCTACACTCTAGACATTCATGTTAACATAAGCATGCTATAAAGTGTTGTTAGACTTACAACACTGGGTTGGTACTGAGGAATTCTCATTGCTGTCCAGGGACTAAATTATTTGACAGAAATCTAGGCTGTACTGTTTTGAATGCTGTTCCACACACTGTATGATATTCTTTCTTCCATCAACCATTTTTGTCCTTTGTGAGAGAAAATACATGATTAATTTTCTGAACTCCTTTTCATCTCTAAGAGCTAAAGGAAAATGTATAGATTGGCCTTGATGTTTTTCCTGTACATCCCCAAAGTTGCCATTGGCTGATGATGCATACTTTGGAAGACTGGTGAAACATACAAACCATAATCAGTGCTCTACAGGGTATATGTTAAATAGTTACTGTGGCCTAAGCAACATGCTTTAGCGGAGATAAGAGGCTGCCTAGTCCCAAGATGTTTGGACCAGATTCATTACGAGACCTTTACCCAGCCCTACCCAGTTACCATGTGATTTCATCTGAAGCCATCCTCATCTTACTGCAGCTGTAAAGCACATCTACATGAGGTTAGGCTACCTGTATAGCTTGGACCTCAGGAATCTTTGTAACAACCAATAGACTCACTAAACACCTCTCTCCCTATTAAGTCTAATTTCTAGCAGTAGAGAGATGTCACTGCAAGAAATTTCACGTTTGGTTACCAACTAGTTTCTTTGCTAATACATGAAGTATATGTTCTGGGGAAACCTAATCAACATTGTGATGGCTCAGTCAACATTGACATAAATCAGAAAATTGACATAAATACCCAGGAAGAGTCCTTTGTGTGTTCTATTTTGACTGTCCTCTAGTTATTTTAAACAGAAGGGGATGATCTAAATAAAACAGTAAATAAATACTTCTCATATCTCATTTTTTATACATCTTCATTGTTGTGCACAAATGTCCTTGATAGCATTTTCCAGATACAGAATATTAGACCTACCACATACTGGATGAAATTTTCAAAGAAGATTCTATTTTCAAATAATTTTGGAAAACACTTCAAAGGATTAATGCTCAGACTTTTGCTCCTTCCTACCCCTCACCTCCACCACCTTCCTCCAACCCAAGTTTCTGACTGAGTAGACCTGAGGTGTGGGTCTACTCAAGACTGGGTGTTTCTAACAAGTTCCTGAGTGAGCCTGAGATTGCCAGTCCTAAAGCAACACAAAGCGTTCTTGAATTTTTGTGCTCAGGAACCCCTGCTTCAGTGTTCTGAGAAATTGGGACTACAGGCATGTACCACCATGTCTGCTTTCTATGAGATCATTTTTTAAGAAATATTCACTTTAGAATTCTAAACTAACCAGATCGCAATCCAATATTTTTTTTTAGTTTTGATTTCCTAATCTTTCATCAAGACACTACACACACACGTGAGCATAGGCACACAGACATATGCTTCCAAAAGGACTCACAGATGCTTTATTCTTTTCCTCTAGGAGATTGCCCATGCTCAATAAGGAGACTATAACAGCTACATTCTTAATCCAGGCCTTTCTGGCTTTGGAAGCTGTCCTATCAATTGTGACACTTGAGCACAGTAATAAATATTACCCAGGTTGGCCCCACATGTTGACATGTCTGCACATGTTTTATATTCTCAGTAATTGCATATACTCTCAGAATAATTTGGTTTCAGTGTTATGTAAAGTTAACAGTGGGAGTAAAAGAAATGTATGGGGCAATGATTAACAACTCAGCTTCTCTGAAGCAATTGCTCAGCTTGTTGCATTATGGATATTCATTACCTTATAAACTGTCAATGTTACACTGCATGGTACCTGAAGCCTGGATAAAGCATTCACACAAAGATAAATGGGTTCAAGCTGAGTAAATGCTGGAGAAAAAGGTATTCTGGGGTTCAGCAAAAGGGAAATTTGATTTCCTTACTGGGATTAATAAAGGGAAATTCCAATTGGAAGTAACCATTCCATCTTAAATTCACCATTTATGAAAATCAATCATACTTATACCTTGTACAAACTGACTGTTTACAATCCAAGTGTTCTTCTCTTTAAAAAATTTCAGTAACAAAATGAACTAGTTCTCAAACTTAGACTACAATAATCCTTCCTTTAATATAAAACAGCTGAACAGAGCAGCTTGGACTATGAGTTTCATGAATCTTAAGAATATTTCAAAAGACATGACTATTACATTCACAAGATATTGTGTTCCAGAAAGTGTACACGTGTGTTTGTGTGTGTGTGTGTGCTCGTGTGTGTGCGTGCACATGAGTGTTATGAGGCAGAGTACTAAATAAATCCCATTACTTCCTAATTGCAGGTAGATTTTGTTAAATACACCTTCAAACTTACTTAGGATCACATTCACTAAGTATAATACCTTGTGGCTAAAACTGAACTAGATACCAAATGTTCAGTCTATAGTCATCAGATATATAAAGATAAAACTTAGAATATGATTAATGCTATAAAACACTGGGTTTCCTTTCAATGCATAAAGATGGGATACTTATCCAATGACTGAACAAAGGAAGAAAGACTTTGTATACTGCTGATTTTATTATTAACCTGAAATCCATTTATAAGTTAAAATGATAATTGAGATTCTAGGAATAAGCATTAAGTTTAATTTTTTATTGTGAAAATACTGTACAGAGGGGTTACAATTACATGGGCAAGATAATGAGTACATTTCCTATCAAGCATTGTAGCCTCCTCCTTTGTTTCCCCTTCCCATCCTCCCCCCCTCCCCCACCCCATCCTATCCGCGCCCCGCCCCCCGCACGAAAGTTGTAAAGTTGTAAAGTTCGTTTTCGACATAATGACTTGTACATCTCATTGTTGCAATGGGTCCACCTGTATCCCTATTTAAATGACTTTTTTTTTCCATTTCCCCTCCACAAATTATACCGACAACAAATACAGTGAAAGCTACCAGCACGACTGTTTATTGCAGCATTATTTACTATAAGTAAGATCTGGAACCAATCCAGATGCCCCTCAGTAGATGAATAGATCAAGAAAATGTGGTATATATACACAATGGAATTCTATGCCTCCATCAGAAAGAATGACATTGCCCCATTTGTTAGGAAATGGAAAGGCTTGGAAAAAATTATATTAAGTGAACTAAGCCAGGCCCAAAGAAACGTAGGTCCCATGGTTTCCCTTATTTGCAATATCTAGTATATGTCTGAGTCAAACAGAAAAGGTCAGATAAGGTGATGTTAGGGAAATGAACCCTAAGATACGTATTCAAATGTTTTTTTTTCTTTCATGCGATTGTTTCTAACTATTTATAAGATTATTTCTTTGTTGCTTTGCTTTGTATGTCCCTCCCTCACAGTAAGTTTAATTTTTTAGTCCTGTATATAGCAAAAACTGACATGGCAATTAAACTAGTATAGTATAAAATAGCTACTTAAGGATCTCCAGAACAATATTCCACAACATCACTTCCGGCTTTTTTTTTCTTTTTGCTTATGTGGTGCTGAGGAATTGAACCCAGGGCCTCAGGCATGCAAGGCAAGCGCTCTACCACTGAGCCACCTTCCCAGCCCCATCTCCAGAACAATATTAACAATAGCTACAATGTAGAATAAATAGATGCTTATTAATGGATGAAGAAAATGTGATTTTATGTATCTACATCTATATCTATCTATCTGAATACATTTCAGCCCCAGAAAAGAATGATGTGCTGTCATTTGTGACCACATGAATGGAACTGGAGGATATTATGTTACCTGAAACAATTCAGGCATTCATGTATGAAAGTTTGAAACATTGTTCTCTAAAGAACCACTTCTCAGGGCTGGGAAGGTGACTCAGTGGTAGAACACTTGCCTTGCATGCATGAGGCCCTGGGTTCGATTCCTCAGCACCACATTAGCAAAAAGAAAAAAAGACGGAAGTGGCATTGTGGCTCAAGTGGTAGAGCGCTAGCCTTGAGCTGAAGAGCTGAGGGACAGCGCCCAGGTCCAGAGTTTCCGTCCCATGACCAACCCCCCCCCAAAAAAAAGAAAAAAAAGGAACCACTTCTCATCAAGTCCTATTGGTTCATGCTTATAGGCCTTGTTACTCAAGAGGTAGTTATCAGAGGGGTTGTGGTTTGAGGCCAACCCAGGCAAAAATTGGTGAGATCCCCTCCTCCATATCAACCAATAAATGCTGGGTAAGATGGTGTGTGACTGCTATTCTAGCTATAGCTACATAGAAAACACAGCAGTAAAGGGCAACCAAGACATGAACATGAGATCCTATTTTAAAAATAACTAAAGGAAAAAGTACTGGGGTATTGTTAAAATGTAAAAAAAAAACATTACTACCAGGTGCTAATGGCTCCTGGCTGATCTGAAAATCATGGTTGGAAATCAGGCCGGGCAGGAAAGTATGAGATTCTTAACTGCAATGAACCACCAAAAAGCCAAGTGGATCTGTGGCTCAGGTGATAGTTCACTAGTTTTGAGGAACAACAGCAACAACAACAACAACAAAAACACCTCAGGGACAGCTCCTAGGCCCCAACTTTAATCCCAAGGGCTGTCATAAAAATTATTGTCAAAGTAAAAAATTAAAAATTAATGGTACTCGCCGGACACCAATGGCTCACGCCTGTAATCTTAGCTACTCAGGAAGCTGAAATCTGAGGATTGTGGTTCAAAGCCAGCCCAGGCTGGAAAATCCGTGAGACTCTTATCTCCAATAAACCACTAGAAAGCCGGAAGTGGCGCTGTGGCTCAAGCGGTTGAGCACTCGTCTTGAGCTGAAGAGCGCAGGGAGAGCACGCAGGCCCAGTGTTCAAGCCCCACAACTGACCAAAAAAAATTATTGGTATATATTAATTTCACAATGTCAAAAAATCACTTGTCTCAATAGATACACACAATTACTTGGTCTGGGC